CTACCTCCTCGCCCTCTTCATTATCATCTTCGGGGTACTTTCATGTCGTCGCCATCCTCTCCCCTCGTGCTCCTCCTCCACGTCTTCTTCCTCCCTCCCCTCCTCCTCCTCCTCCTCCTCTTCGTCGTCGTCATCGACTTGCCATAACCTCCCTCCCCCCCCTGCTCATGCCACGTGGCGCCGTTTTTCCATTCTTTTCCCCCGTCTTCTGTAAGATCTTCGTCGTCGTTTTCTGCGAAATTTTCTCCTCCTCGTCTTGGTCCTCGTCATGGACTTGCTTCGTCCTCTTCCCTTCCTCCCCCCCCTCCTCCTTCCCCGCCTGTGCCACGTGACAATCTTTTCCGTTTTCTTTTCTTTTTTTCCTTGTTTTCCTTCGGATCTTTCCTGTCCTGTTCGTCGCGCAGTTATCCTCCTCCTCCTCGCGCCGTTTTTAATTCCCTCCCCTCCCTCCCCTCCCTCCCCCCTCCCCCCTCCCCCCCGTCTGTCTTCTTTAAGATCTTCGTCGTCGTTTTCCTTGGAACTTTCTCCTCCTCCTCCTTCTCCTCCTTGTCTTGGCCCTCGTCATGGACTTGCTTCGTCGTCTTGTGCCACGTGTGTTTGTGTGTTTGTGTTTGTGTGTGTGTGTGTGTGTGTGTGTGTGTGTGTTGGTCCTCAGAGAAACCCCCTACCGTCTTCCACCAACAGAACGTACAGTCGTTATTCCTGTATTTTGCCAGGTAGAATGCCTGTATTTGGTGCAACTTTCAGTCTAGATGCAGCAATATGACCTTGGATCTATTCGGAGGAACACCGTATCAGAAAGATCAGAGAGACTATTAGAACACACGATTCTTTTGTCCCAGACCCGTCAGAAAAAAAAAAAAAAAAAAAAAAAAAAAAACCCAGCGGTCCTGCTCTGGATGTCAAGGGACAACATGACAGACGATGGAAAATGGGGATTCTGCTAGGGCACTGTCTGAACTGCTCCTGCTGCTCTTGCTGCACTACCTTCTTCCCCCGAATACAACGTACGGGGTTCTGTTCTCGCTGGCTGCATCTTCATCCTCTTTTCTGCTTGTGGTCATCCTAGTGTTGCTCCTCTCCTCTTCCTCTCTCTCCTCCTTCCACACGCTTTTCTCTTCCCTGTGGCTCTCTCTCTCTCCTCCTCCCTCCTCTTCCCTCCTCCTGCTCCTGTTACCCAGGGAGCCCGATCTTCGTTCGTAGCCACACCCTCATGACGCAAGAGGGCGACGCAAACGGTGCCGCAAACGGTGTGACTGCAAACGGTGTGACGGCAAACGGTGTGACTGCAAACGGTGTGACTGCAAACGGTGAGGAGGTAGGTTGGAAAATAGCGTTCATAAAAAAAAAAGGACATAGGATCGGATAATTGTGAATACGGTAGGATAGAAACGACAAAGGATCGGATAATTGCGGATAAGGTTACATCTATCCGGCTCTACGGGTAAATACAGAAAGACCCATCAAAGCCAGCAGCAGTTCATGACGAATATATGATGATTATGATGCCGATGATGATGATATGATGATATGATGATGATATGATGATGATATGATGATGATATGATGATGATGATGATGATGGATGCCGATGAGGAGGATGATAATGAAGATGATGATGAAGATGATGATGATGATGATGATGATGATGATGATGATGGATTATGGTGATGATTAGGATGATGGAAAGCAAGAAAAGTGATACAGCTGGCAAGGGAGAGGTATGTCATAGTAGACAAAGAGCGTACTCACATTAGGACTTTCCTTTATGTATCTGGCTGCAATTACGTCCAGAGGACAGTCGAAAAAGTGGTAGTGTGAAAATGCCCTAAAAAGCGACGGGAGAGAGCGAGCGCAATACCGACAAAAGTGAGATGTATCTGAGGGCATACTCGCACTAGGATTTTTTTTGATTGACCTCTGGACGTAATTGCGGTAAGATACGTACAGCACCAGCCCGTAATTGTGGTCAGATGCATCCAGGAAAAAAAAATGTTCGTGTGCGTACGATCTGAGTGTGTACTCTCTAGCACTGTCCTCGACGTAGATCTGCATCTACAAAATTGCTAGTTTGAGCAGAGCCCCTCTAGGGCTTTCTTGGATGTATCTGACTGTAATTGCATCCAGATTCCTCCACGCAATATTAGCATGGCCCTCGCGTAAGGATGACACGCATAAATTGAGAAATAGTCGAGAGAGAGAGAGAGAGAGAGAGAGAGAGAGAGAGAGAAGCAGACGAGCACATAGTCATACACGTCATTAAAACAAAAACAAAAACACAGAGAGAGAGAGAGAGAGAGAGAGAGAGAGAGAGAGAGAGAGAGAGAGAGAAGCAGACGAGCACACAGTCATATACATCATTAAAACAAAAACAAAAAAAACAAGAGAGANAGAGAGAGAGAGAGAGAGAGAGAGAGAGAGAGAGAGAGAGAGAGAGAGAGAGAGAGAGAGAGAGAGCGGTAACTACGGAGTTCCTGGGGGGGAATAGGTGACAATATGAGAGCGGAGGTAATGTCCGGCGAGAGGGGGAGAGAGGGGGAGAGAGGGGAGAGAGGAACACGAGGAGGAGAAGGAGAAGGAGGAGCATCATTTTTTTTACTGTAATGACGGTTGCGGATAGGGATGAAGATAGGGTTGTGGATAAGGACGAGGATAGGGATATGGGTAGGGATCGCGATCGGGATAGGGATATGGGTAAGGGTGAGGATGATGTTGACTATATCACATCGGTGCGAGAAAAGTGAGGAAATCTTGCGGCGAGGGAGAATGATGCCCGAACATGCTTCCGATGATGATGATGATGATGATGATGATGATGATGATTTGGTTGATGATGATGATGATTTGGTTGATGGCGACTACAGATGGCTGGAGCAAGGGGAAGGGGGAGAGAAAGGGCAACGGCAACAGGAGTGGGGATAGAATTGAGGAGCAGGTGTGGGGAGAGGGAGGGAGAGGGAGGTGAGCAGAAATGAAGAAGAACGGCTATTAAAGTGTAGTTGAGGAGAAAGGGAGAAGGAAAAGTGAAGCAGATGGTGTAATCAGGAGTTGATACGTTCCGTGGTATGCTGATTCTAACAAGGTACTACCGCCAATGCATCTGCCCGGGTTTTTACTCTTCCATACAGTTCCTCTGTCCTCTCCTCTCTTAATTTTTCCCCTCCTCCTCCCCCTCCTCTTCCCCCTCCTCTTCCCCCCCCCCCCCCCCCCCCCCCACCCGGTTCAAATAGAAAAAGATGTCACGCTCAGACAGACCAAGTCATCGCCGTCTCTTTGGACGGATGAACTCCGATCTCTTTTTCTCTCTCTCGCTCCCCTTACTCTCTCACTCCCCCCCTCTCTCCCCCCCTCTCTCTCTCCCCTCTCTCCTCCCCCTCTCTCTCTCTCGCGCGTGCACAGGCGCTCGTAGTTGTGAGCCACGACACTAGGTAAACGACAAAACTACATAAACGACAAAACGAACTGACGCACATATTAATGTAGAGCGCCCTACCGTCTTCACCCGAATAGAACGCCCTACCGTCTTCACCCGAATGGAACGCCCTACCGTCTTCACCCGAATAGAACGCCCGGTCATGATCGTTGCATCTGGATCGAAAGTTGTACCGAGTACAGCTATAATGACCGGGCGTCCTATTCGGGTGAAGACGGTTTTTTTTAACTGTGGCAGCGGATTAATGTTATTAGTGACTTATAACAGTAATAGTGATAGTAATTAAATAAATGTTAATTGTATTTAATAATTGAGTAATAGTAATAGTATTAAAAATTATTAATAGTATTAATAATTGTGTTTAGTAGTGTGAAGGTATTAATAATATCGATAGAGTATCAGTACTTCTCTCTCCGCTCCGACTCCAAACAGATTAATTTATTTATGTCGTTTTCGAAAATTAAGAGCGCCCTTGCGAGATATCTTAAAATTAATAATATGTCGCTTGACTCTTTTATTCATGAATGAATTGATCTCTTTTTCTGTTCTTTTTAGTAACATTCAAAATAATAATGTCGGCTAGAATCTAGGCTGCCAGCCGGGCCGCCCGGGTCACCCTATTTTCCCAGGCGGCCCGGCCGTGCAAGGACCAGGGGAGGTCCCAGCCAAAAAAAAAAAAAAAAGAAATCCAAAAAATCCGAAAAAAAACTATGTTATCCAGAAAAATAAACTGAACAACTTTCGCCTCAGGGTCACAACGAAATTCTTTACCAAATTTAAAATAAAAAATTTAATTAAAAAATAATTTTATTTTATTTTTATTATATCTTTTTGGCCCGGCCGGGCAAGTGGACCCGGGCCACTCTGGTAGCCTAGGTTAGAATCGAAAAAATCAAACTCAATTAAACTAATTGGGGGGGTCCGATAAGTAATAGGTGTGGTCGAGATTGATGGATTGATTTTTAACGAACCTCGATCACCCCTGTTAGCGGTCGAATTTACGATTAAGATACTGATGTATTTACAACGCATTTAAATCGAAAGGATAACGATCTGAAAACGTGCTAAAGAGCGCTGAAAAGATGAAGACAGTGATGGTGATGTAATGAAACTGAAGTCCAGTGGTGTA